ATCGAAACAGTTGATGTCTGTCGTTACACAATTTCCTTAAGATAGATTTTCGACCACTCTTTGGTATTCGAGTTCGTTGGTCGTTTGTCTCTCGGGATACAACAACTAGATGATCAAATATCATTTAATATTCAAGAGATATTTAATCAAACCAAATATCTTTTAATATTCAAATGTAAACCGATAATAATATCTTTTAATTTGAAATATTCAAAAAATAAACTCCTTTTACCATTTAAACTTAAATATATATTATTTTAATTTGAAATATAAAAAGTATATAATTATCGTTAATATTCAAAATTAAACAAAAGATAACAAATACATTTTTAAATTGACATATTCAAAAGAACAATTATCCTACTGATATTCAAATTAAAATTATCTTTTAATTTGCAATAGTCAAGAGGAATATGAATTTAATATAAATATTAAATGCATCAATTAAATTTACTATTTTTCCAATAATCCCTGACATGCATGAAATTGATGATTTTATCAAAAATATTTTTATTCAGTGTGGTGATAGCCTATATGATCGATAGTTGCAAAGGATAGGTAGATGTCCTCCTTTGAACATTTCATTGTGGTAGTATATTTACTTTACTAGCTAAACAGTAGACGTGGTGTCCTTGATTTTTTTTATCATTTTTATAAATGATGACATACTTCACACAACTACACCTCTGATAAAAAATTAGTTCTCATAGGTATGTCCTTAAAGCTATGGACATCTGCTTGGTTCTGCAAGAGTTTGAAAGAACTATGCCCAATAGTTTCCTTAAAACGGTTCTACTTCACTCTCAAATAGGTGATTTATGTTGCTCAGCTCATCACAATACACAATAGTCATTAAAAGCTTTGCTTAGCCTCTACCACTTTGATCATTGTTTACATTATAAGAACGGACTTGGGATAAGAAACCCCCATAGTGATCGTACACGATTTATGCAATTATGTTGTCCCTTTGAACTTAGATCTTGATATCTCTATTCAACTTGATAGGGTTTTATTTCACATAAAGCCTTTAAATTTCATGTGCTTTAGTCATAGTCCTTTATATGTTTTCTCAACTTGATCTTGATTTAACCCTTGGGTTAGTGAATCCACGATGTTATCCTTAAATCTTACAAAATCAATAGAGATAACTCCATTTGAAATTAGTTGTTTATGGTATTATGTCAACGACGCATATGTCTCGACTTACCATTATAATTGAAATTCTATGTTAGTCACAGTATATGCATATTGTGGGCACATGTTTCAGCCATTCAAGAGTATCTTCCAAGAAATTCCAAAGCTATTCAATTTATTCTCTAGACTTATCTAGAGTTACAAACTCAGATTCCACTATAAATCTGGTTATAACCATTTTCTTAAGGATTTCCATGACACGACTTCTCCTTCCAATGTGAAACATATTTACTTGTGTCGTTGATATCTTGAATATCAAATTCTAACTAGCATTGGTCTATCCTTTTAAGATTGTAGAATAGTTAAAAAAAATACAATCCATTTTCTATGACCTATTTTCATTTGTTTTGGTAATATGACCATTACCTTCTCAAGACACCCCACATTTTTTAATGTGTTGTGTGACACGTGTTTTCAACTTTTTCATAATTCATATGGCTTCTTGTCATTTTTTATGGGGTTCTTATTTAAAAGGTAATTAGTTGATAGAACAATTTCTCTCTCCCCCACATATTCTATGACAACTTAGATCTTCTTAACGTTGTGTTTATTATTTCTTTTAAGATTTAATTATTCTGCTTTGCTAGTTCATTTATTTTAGGAGAGTATAGTGATGTTACTTCATGAAGAATATCATGTTGTGCACAATGGCTTAACATATTCACCATTACTATCACTTCTTACCATCTAAATCTTTTTTTAAAATTTTATTTTAACTTTATGTTTATATAAAATAAATTTATCTATAACTTCGCTTTTGCTCTTTTAGCAAATACACATATCATCAATGGAGGTAATAAAATATTTATTCTCCCTCGTTTGTGTCATTATTACGAATTTTAAAAACTTAATCACTCACAATTCATTAGTACCAACATCTTTTGTTTCGTATCTATGGCCCAATGTTATCCATAATTCTTTTATTGATATTGTACACCTTATATAGTGTATCCGATAATACATTGATGTATTTTCAATATAGAAAGTCGTAATAATTCCAAATTTTAATGGCAGTGAATGGGATAACAACGCTTACCTCATTCTCTCTAATAATAGGAGGATCATCCGACATTTAGTCAAATTCAACATGGTCAAATAGAACAACATCTTATGTTTCTCATTGTGGTTCATTATAACTGACAATCATGATTTCATTTAACACACAAAATTAGAATTAACAATAATTCCAACAATAATCAAAATTAAAATTTGATTTATTCTATCAACATAATTTAATCATGATCTAAAATCTGAAACAAATCAGTAACATAGTTGTTACTTTCCAATGAATTCTATTATAAATAGAAATTAAATAATTCTTTTATGCGACAGAATTAAAATCTCATTTGATTTCAAATATGAAATCATAGATTCTAATAAACAAAAAATTAATTCTTGTTTATTTTTCAATTTTTTTATCGGACATAATAAATATTCTAAAACAAAATCAGTAACCAAAGTTATTTTCACAACAATTTTTGTTATACTGATTTGTCAACTTTGAGATTTTAGTAAACTCATTAAGACGATAAGATAAATTCTGAAACAAATTTGTTCGCTATCTTATTTTCTCACAATTCTGAATAATCTCGGATTAAGAAAAATAGAAGAAGAAAATTGTGTCTTAAGATCGTTAATCCAAGAATAATAAAGAAAAATAATAATGAAACAAATATCATTAAAATCAAGAGAAATAAAGGGATAGAATGAATTTACTCTATCTTGAGATTGCTACGCAAAATAACAATCTGAGACGTAATCGAACCCGAGAAAATAAAACAAAGAAGTTAAACTTCTTACAACCAAATAATAAATAAATGAAAATAAGAATACTCTTTTTATTTTGATCTTGCGATCGAAAATAATTGAGATTTGTATCTAAACAGTTTCCTTAAGATAGATTTTCAGTCACTCCTTTGGTGGTCGAGTTCATTTGTTGTTTGTCTCCTAGGATACAACTAGATGAGCTACAGTAGCACGACATTAGAGATCACAAACTATCATTGCCTTTGTTTATCCCCGAAAAACTAGTGGAGAGAACTTTTTCATGAAAAGAGAAGTTCTTGAAATCACATATGAAAACTTGTTTAGAATTCAACTTGTGTTTAACGTAACTTGTTAACTCAATATTTATAGGAGATTTTCAAGAAAGATTTATTCCAACCAGATATCCTTTAATATTCAAATGTAAACTGATAATAATATATTTTAACTTGAAATATTTAAACTTCTTTTATCATTCAAACTTAAATAGATATTGTTTTAATTTGAAATATAAAAAAATATATATAATTGTTTTTAATATTCAAAATTAAACAGAAGACAACAAATAACTTTTTAAATTAACATATTCAAAAAGTAATTATCCTACTAATATTTAAATTAAAATTATCTTTTAATTTACAATAATTAAAAATAAATTTAATATAAATATTAAATATATCAATTAAATTCACTATTTTTCCAACGGTCTGTTTTCCTTCCATGGTTCTCTCTGAATCATTCAACTGCAGCCGACTGCCTTTTGTCCAAAATCCATTATCTTTTAGAAATTTTAAGAGTTTAGTGGATGAAAGATCATTTGAGCATAGTTTAAGGATCATTTGTATAATTTAACCTTTTGGTTTTTAATTTCTTAAATAGAAATGATAGGGGTCGTTTTGGTAATTCACGTACATGGGTAGAAGATATTTTTTTTAGTTTTGTTGAATTGTGATGGTTGAGAGAGAGAGAGAGAGTTGAAGTGAATTCAAAGGTGGCTACGTAATTGATTCTCTAAGTTGACGTGTCTCATCTTTGCTGACTAGTTATTATGTGGTTCTGCGTTTATTATTATTATTTTTACAAAATGACGGTGTTTATTTATTTTAAATTTTTAAGCTTACTTTTAGTAGAACAGAACAGTCGGGATCACACGAGAAGGGAGCCGACTAAACCTGTTAATCTCAATTGCTTTGCTTATTTCAAAATTTAAGATAAATAATATTAAATATTACTAAACTTCAAGCAGTATATAATTTACAACATTTATACTTTTATTTATATTATTAACTTTAATTCTATTAATTAAATGATTAAAATTCATATAATACGATGATAGAGATAAAATGATATCATTCTAATACAATTATCAATATATCAATTTTATAATTAAATATCCAGACAATTCATTTTTTATGTTATATTTTTGCATTCGATAATTAATTATTATCAATCACTAGTTATCCCTTAATAACAAATATTTATATTAAAATATTTATATTTTTTTCTTTAAGATAAAAGATTTATTTAAAACTCAAAAAGAAAAAGAGTAGAATGTGAACTTTTAACACCGATCTACTATGAAAGACAAAATGTGACGAACGATCAAAAGTTTCAATATAAAAGAACTTAACTCTTTGTATTTAATCGTAAAATCAATACACACTAGAGGACCTTTTTTATGTTTAATAGTAAAATCAATACACATTAAAGACCTTTCTTATGTTTAATGGTAAAATCGATACACATTTAAGTTCAACACCAATCGATATACTTTTTCCTCCATAAAAAGATAAGTTCATATAATCTATCGTTAAAATATAAATGGTACACCGATTAAAATTCAAATATAAGTTATCTTAAATTTTAAGCTTATTTAATTTCAATTGCTTTGAGAATATAATAGTTCAATAAATTCGAATGGATGGACGAACTAGGTATCCTCTTACCGTCACCAAACACTAAGTGAAAGCATTTGGCAACATAATGAGACACTACCAAACAACATAAATGCAAAACAAAAGAGCGCCAAAGAGGGTTCTAGCTTCCCATACAATGCGTTACAGATTCCACTCAGAAACAGTGTATTGAGAACGTAAATGCAAACAATACCAAATAACAGTACATAGCCTCGTCTTACAAGTACATGAGTTTTCGTGTGCCACGGAATATTAGGGATACACAAACTTGCTACTCATTCTTGTATCTCTTCTCTACTTCCTCCAAACTCTCTATTTCCTTGTGGTACTTGCAAATCCTGTAGATACACCTGTCCAAACATCATAGTCCCAAATTATTTCCAATATTTGAAATCCTAAACTATCTTTCTCAACCCAAATAACCAGCACATACCAGTACAGGAGGCATGCAGTTGTACACAAAATCACATTCCTTTGGGCTTTGTACACCTACATACCATCACCCCAAACTCTTATTATTTACAAACCAAGTTGCTCATTAGATTTTAGGTAACGTTTCAGTTAACAATAGACCTGTGTTACTTCCTCCCATGTTAGTGTAACGGAACGCTTTATGAAAAGACATGGAACGATTGAATGATTTAATTAATCATAAACAAACTCTAAATAAGTTGACTATAACATGCACTAAAGCCAAAACACAGTGGTTTTAAAAAAGCAAGGATCCTTGCTCCAAAGGCTTTGGAATTCCCGAGTTCAATATCATTAGCCACGCAGTTTTAAACCGTGTCGATGCAAATATTAGTCTTTGAACCGTGTTGATTACGCGATACTATTCGCTCTGGTTTTGGAATTTAAAGGTGTCCAAGGGAGATTTTTTGCATCCACAGAATCTCTGGGATGAGGAATGCTAAATTATAAAAATCCCATTACTTTTGAGTGGTAAAATGAGACCTCCACAAAAGGTTGTACAACAAAGAAGCTTCCACTAGGTGACCCATGTACCCCATTATACGGTGTAAAACCAAAACTGGACTCCAATTTGTGTATGGCATGCTTTGAGTGTCATAGTAAAGATGAAATCCAGCAGTCTGGAAAAGAGAAGTAAATTATTGAAGATAATGCAAGAATCTTAAAAACTTTCTCCAATAAGCAGTCCGTATGGGGCATACGGATTCTCCCAATACAAATAAACCAGTAATACCAGGATGCCCCAACGTCTATTAATTTTGGAAAATTTTGTTGCCCATGAAATTTTCATCTGCAAGCTAATCATTACTGGGAATTGGGTAGCTGTCAGATATGGTGATTTTGTTTAAGATCCTGTAGTTGGCACAAAATGTCCAAGAGTTGTCTTTCTTTTAACCAACAGGAAAAGGCAAACAAACAACCTTGAGCTAAGGCAAATAAACCCGCAATGATAACAAAGCAACACACTAGGGTTTTCTATTTTTATTTTTGATGGTAGAGGACAATGATACAGTCTTATATGTGAGACTGGCATTTGGCAGGAGTGAGATGGTATGGGAGTAAGGATGGGGGTAAGTATGTGGGTTCGATGAGAACTAGTACAAACACCTTGATAAGAGATTGCATGGGAAAAGAGGTTCAAACATGTTACCTTGTGTCCTGGGCTTGATAATTTTGTTTAATATTTGGAAAGAGGCACCATCTGATTGGTTGGTAACTCCCTGTAGCTTATATAGCCATTGAGATGAAAAATCATAAACATCTCATTCCAGTTTGCCTGAATCATGTTCAGAGATACCAACTATTTAAAAACCAAATCTGCACCACAAATGGAGCATGGGTAGAAGCCATGTGATGATTAGGCAAGGCAATTGCTTGGAAAAGTCTTTGCGCAAATGAGTTTTGGGTTTTTATAGGCTGGTTCAGCTGAATGTTTGGTCCTTTTTTTCTTGAGGTTTGGGCTTAGCTTGGATTCAAACTTAAGGGATAAACTCATGGCTTTGTATACTATTTTTGGCTTGTAGATCCTAACATCAGCCATTAGCTCCTCCTTTAAGTCATTCAGAAACACACCTAGGCAATAACCTGGTCAACTTGTGACTCACAAACATCAGCCATTAGGATCTTGGAACTCCCATGGACCATAGTGTTCTCCAATGCTTTGAAAAAATACTCCAAATAAAGTTTGATCCCAGTTGATCCAGGAAAAGTAGTTGAGAGCATCACCTTTGAGATGCATAGAGGCATTGTCGACTTTGAGTTTATTCAAAGTTTGATTATAATGTGAACATTTTTCCACTTTTCGGATCCATTCACAGGATCACCATCGTCACAATTGAGAAATTCTATCTTTGTACGAGGGTGTGTGAGAGACTCATAAGCCATCAAGGATTCTCCATGTCACTTTCATCTTCTTCTGCGACCACGTTGATCTTACTTTCTCATGAAATCCAAAATTTCTTTGACCTTTCTGTTTTTGGATACTCCGGCACTGATTTCCTCAAGAGGGGGCCACTGCCTTTGGACTTGATTAGTTGAGTGTTGCTACTTTTGCTGCTAACAAGTCTACAGGCTTCAATTTGGTGGAAGTTAATTGCAACTTGCAAGGAATAGGAAATGGAATCAAAATTAGAATTGGCTGGTGGATTAGGATTAGGGTTCGTTGGAAATTGGACAATCTTTGACCACGAAGTTCCAATGGCTTTGATGCCAATAATTCTTAAACATTATTTCTCCCATAAGCAATTTGTATGGGGTAAACTTTCCCAATACATATAAACTAGCAATTTCTGGAAACCTAAGAGACTACGTTATTTGCAAGGAAGGAAAATATAATTAAGCCACTTACTAAGGAGAAGATATAAAAAGATATTGCAACAATTTCTTTGTTCAATTAATTAATAATAGCAACAAAACAGAAATGAGGGAGAGAGAGAGAGAGAGAGAGAGAGAGAAGTAGAGAGAGAGAGAGAGAAGTAGAGAGAGAATAGTTGAAAGGGAAGGTAGATTCCAATGGGTCTGGAAGACTTTTGTGGATAATCTCAGTCGGAGAGTGTCACGACGTGCGTTAAGGGAACTGTTTTTATCTCAGGGACCTTTTGAGAGAGTTTTCATTCCAAAAAAATAAAGAAATCCAAAATACAAATTCTCCACCAAAGAATCTGATGAACAGAGATTAACACCAGATTTTACAGTGTACACCCCATCCCCAGTACCTTTCCAAATCATCCCATCAGAAGACTCCATAGATAGAGAAAAAGTCGAAATAACAGCCATCAAATTAGACCACTGCTCTAATTCCTAGTCATTTAAGTTCCTTCGAAACTGCACATCCCAAATCCAGCCTGAAGAGCTATACTTCCCCAAATTCGAATAATTTGCCCATCTTGTTTGTAGACATAGAAAACAGTCTAGGAAAAATGAGCAAAAGAGGATAATCCAAAACCCAAATGTCATGCCAGAACCGAATAAAATTGCCATCTCCAACTAGGAAAGTATACATACTTCTAAACTTGGAGCCAACAGTGTCCTCTTTAAAGTGATTCATTACCACAGATCTCCAAATCCAAGATACTTTATGTGGGATCTTACTATCCAACATTAACAAAGATGAATCCAGTTTGTATTTATAACAAATAAATTCCCTCCAAACAGCCTCCCTTTCATTGGCAAACCTCCAAGACCATTTTTCTAAAAGTGTTCTATTCATCAAATTAAGATTCAGAACACCTAGACCCCCTCAATCTTTGATTTGCACACATTATGCCAACTAACTCAATGAATCTTATTTTTTCCATTTCCCCCTCCCCATAAGAAATTGGACACAATAGGTAATATGTTGGAAGCGAACATAGAACCGACTTAATCAATACCAATCTTCCTGCTAATGAAAGAGAAGCTTTCCACCCAGCTAATTTGTAGGAGAAATTATTAACCACTGGATTCCAAAGAGCTGCAGAATTCCTAGTAGCCTCCAAAGGAAGCCCTAGATAATCAGAAGAAAATCTGCCTACTGAACATCCGATAGTGTTTGCCCACTCATGAACTTCCTCTTCATTCAAATTAACACCAAATAGTTTGTTTTTCTTCATGTTTAGCTGTAAACCAGAAATCACTTGAAACACACGAAGCACCCTCTTCAAATTTAGAATCTGCATTTTCAAAGCACCGTAAAAGACAATGAGATCATCCGCAAACTATAGATGAGATAAATTGAAAGACCCCCCTTCCCTGCCAATAACCAGTCCAAAAAACAGTCCCTGTGCAACACCTTTAGAATCAGTAAGTTGAGAAGTTCGCCTATAAAATTAAACAAAAAAGGATAAAGAACATCCTTGTCTTAGTCCCTTGGCCATCGGGAATTCTTCAAAAGGCACTCCATTAACTAAAACCGAAACTGAAGTTGTGGTTACACATTTTCTGATCCAACCTCTCCACCTGGAACCAAATCTCATTTTCTCCATTATTAGAAATAAAGTATCCCAATCAACCGAATCATATGCTTTCTTGAAATCAGCCTTGAAAACACAACCCTTAAGTCAATTTTTCCTCCAAAAATCAACTCCTTCATTAGCAATTAGAGAACAATCCAAAATTTGTCGACTTGGGATGAAAGCAAATTGTGTAGGACTAATTATGTCTGAAATACAACTCCTTAACCTCCTCGAAAGACACTTAGAGAGGATCTTATATAATCCACCAACTAAGCTAATAGGTCTATAGTCATCTAGGTCACCAATGTTTGAGCTCTTTGGAATGAGTAATAAAGGTATGATTTATGCCATGTTCCCAATCTTTTCCCAAGTAGAAGTTGTGAAAAAACTTCATAATCTCTCCCTCAAGTACATGCCAATTTTTTTTGAAAAAGCTCAAATTTAAACCATCTGGTCCCAGAGCTTTATTGCTATTACAAGACTTTAAAGTATCCCATATCTCCTCCTCTGCAAATTCTTTCTCAAAACTCAAATTCTGTTCCAATGAAATACTGGAAAAATCCAGCCTAATATCTTCCACTTCTAAGGTTGACTGATCATTAAAAGCCTTAAAAAAGTAATCTCTGACAGTGGCCTTGATAACATTCGGATCTTGAATAACATTTCCCCTGATATAAAGAGCATTCAAAGCATTTCTCTTCCTCCTAACTGAAGCACAAGTATGAAAGAATCTGGTATTTCTGTCCCCATCTTCAACCCACTTTGATCTTGAATTCTGGAACCAAATCTGCTGCTCTATCTTGTACAGCCTCCACAATTTTGTTCTTAACTCCTTCAACTCAACTGCATTCTCACCATTGGAACCATCTTGCAACTATTGAACATCCACTTCTAACTTTTGAATCTTCAATTCTAATTCTGAAATCAAAGCTCCTGGAAATTTCTCTCTTTCCTGCCCAATTTTTTTGGCTGATTTGGTTTTTTCAGCATACTATAAATTCCAGCATTCCTCTGATATTTCTTACATTCTTGAATTGAAGAGCTAACCAAATCTTCGAATCTGACTTCATCCATCAGATAATTAAA